GACTGAGGAGGAAAACCAAAAAGATGGGGATCTGTGGGGCTGTCTCAATGTGGTTGCCTTTTGGGGGCTGCTATCATGCATGCCCACAAGATCCACCACCACTGTGCCTGTCATATTGTGCTACTGTGTTAAGCCCAGAATGCCTGTGGGTTCCCTCTGTGCCCACAGAACAAGATGGTGGCAATTATGGGAAAATAGGGGCAAGTTTTCTGTTTTGTTTTTTATCCAGATTGTGTTTACATGACCACTTCCTTCAAAAGGTTTAAATGAAAAACTCAAAAACTTAAGTGAACCTAGCATGGGAATTGGCATAAAGTTAGGTATTTACTGTTTCCTACCTTTATATTTTTCCACTTTGGCATTTGTCCATGTTGAATTAGGCTGTGCAATGATGTTTTAAATGTTTGCATGTTAAAAAAAAAAAAAACACTTTAGTTGGGGTGAGCATCCTATAGTTCTATTAGCTAATATTCACTATGCTTTTTAATTTTATAAGACGAGAATTTTAGCTTGCCTATCTGCAACATTTTACAAAAAAGATGTCCTTAGTAAATTGGCAGTGACTACACCTTGTTTTAGCTTTTGCTGGCTTCTATCATGATAGCTTTCTCTATAATTTGAGCTACTCCAAAGGTGGTTATCAGGGTTTTTGTTTTTTTAAACTACGTTTTAAATACTTAATGGAAGATTCCATAGCAAAGCAGAGCCAAGATTAAAACATTTGATTATAATTGTTACCTGGTTATTATAGCCACAAGGTCTTCAATATTCCAGGAGTAATTCATTATTTGGCAGGTTACTGCCCCCCATCTTTGACTTTTAATACTATTATTCTATTAGAAAACTGGATGGTTAGTGAAGGAAGAGTGGTTAGTATGTTTTAGAGCAAGGGAAGTTACAGGTGTTGATAATCCTAATGGTATCACATACTGAGTTAAATAGGAAAATTTTAGGTGTGCATTCTACTCCCCTTAATTGGATGTAGTAAGTTTTGTCAAAAGGAAATCAAGGTTTGTTTTTTTGTAGAGATGGGGACTCACTGTGTTACCCAGGTTGGTCTTGAACTCCTGGGCTCAAGTGATCCTCTTACCTCAGCTTCCCAAAGTGCTGGGATTAGGAGCAGGACTTCTGTAAAAAGTTAAGTGAAATAATGAAAGTAAGGCATTTAGCATTGTCTTTTGCATTTGCTCAGTTAACTATGCTGTGAAACCAGTTATGACCCTGAAAAATGAGGGAATTGGGCAGTTGATTGGTGTTTTTCCAGTATCGACAATGAGGTTTATATAAATTGATATCAAGGACAACAAAGGTAGAAGGAGAAACTTTTGGGCTCTTGGTATGTCATAATTGGTCATAATTTCTACTGAAATATACAAAAGTCACAAAGTCTTGGCATCTTGATTTTACAGGAAACAAGTATATAACCATTATATAATTTAACTGGTCATAATGAACTGGGTTCAAATTTCAGTTCCATTGCTTCCTACAACATAATCATATTTGAGCCCAGGACTGTGATATCACCTTCAACATCTTTTTTTTTCGAGACGGAGTTGTGGCACTGTTGCCTCGGCTGAAGTGCGGTGGCGTGATCTTCAATCAGCGCAACCTCTGTGTCCTAGTTGAAGCAATTCTGCCTCAGCCTCCCAAGTAGCTGGGATTAAAGGTAGTGGGATTACACCAAGCCTGGTTAATTTTTTTGTATTTTTAGTAGAGATGGGGTTTCACGATGTTGGCCAGGCTTGTCTCGAACTCCTGACCTTGTGATCTGCCCACCTCGGCCTCCCAAAGTGCTGAGATTACAGGTGTCAGTCAGCCACCGTGCCTGGCCCCACCTTCAAGTCTTAACCAAACTATTAGTGCTATATAAGTAGGATTGTGGAAACTGCACCAGCCATATACTGTTTATGGCTTGTTTGCTCCCAGACGACTCTCCCAATAAACATCGCTATTGCAGTTAAATATCACCTTTGGTGTAAGGTATTTTCCTAAAATTTTTAGAAGACAATAATTTTAAAGATCTGATATATAACAGACGCACTGTTGAGCTCTATTATAGATTTGTATTCTCACGAGAAATGCTTCTCCCCCTCTTTGAACCTTATGATAATCTGGAAATAAATCTTAGTGATACTATATAAGACAATGTTTTCTTAAAAGAACATTTTGTTTATCCTACATGCTTAATCTGCTTTATGGATAGTCCTTGAAGTCATTGACCCATGTTTCTATTTTTGAGATACTTAAACTATTTTCTCATCTAGATGTTCCCATCTCTAATGTCACACCTTGTATGGGTTTCTGGACTTCTCTGTACTTTTCATATTCTTTTAGTCTCTAGGGTACCAGTCCCTAGACTGCTGAGCCAGTTTTGCAGGCTCAGCCAAAATAAGAAAATGAAATGAGGCACAGGGAATGGACTTGATTAATCTCTTAACATTTGTGAGAACTTTGGTATTTACTTGCCTCTTCACTTTCGAATTTCAGTTGTTCATTTTAAACCTAGTGCCTGGGTTTTGTTTGTTTATTTGTTTAAGGCTATGTTAAATGAATTTAGAATCCCAGTATTTTAAGAAACTAGATGAAGTCCTTTAGTCTCTTGCTCCTCAAAAAGTAACTCACAGAATCACCCAGGAACTTGGAAACGCAGAATCTTAGGCCCTGGCTCAGAATTTGAATCAATCTGCTTTTTAACAAGATCATCAGATGTTTTGTATGCATTTTAATTTTTGTAAAGCACTGTTGTAATCTTCTCTGGTTTAATTAGAGGGGAAAACCAGTCAGTGGTTTATTCAGCAAGTATTTTAGTCCTTGTGTTCAAAGGGCTCAATTAAAAAACAACCCCGTGTTTTGGGTATGTTTAAAATTACAGGAGAAACAATTTGTCATAACATGAATCTTCCAGCAATGATAGGCACAGGGTCCTTTGGGACTTGGTGGATTAGGCTTAAAGGTCTACTCAGAGGAGTTGACTCTTGAGATTTTCCAGGTGGTCAAAGAAAGGAATAGCATTTCACGCAGAAGGGCTAACATATGTGGAGACAGATAGAAATGTGAAGATGGCATGTTTGGGGTTTTTGCAAGTATGATACAGCAGAGCATGCCATTTTAATAAGGGAGAGAAGTGGCAGGGCGTGGTGGCTCACACGTGCAATCCCAATACCTTGGGAGGCCGAGGCAGGCAGATCATGAGGTCAGGAGTTCGAGACCAGCCTGGCCAATATGGTGAAACCCCCATCTCTACTAAAAATACAAAATTAGGCGTGATGGTGCACACCTGTAGTCACAGCTACTTCGGAAGCTGAGGCAGAAGAATCGCTTGAACCCAGGAGGCAGAGGTTGCAGTGAGCCAAGATTGTGCCACTGCACTCCAGAAGTGAGAGATTGGATTGTAAATGTTGCTTTTGTCCTAAAGGTAGTGACAGCTCACACTTACTGACTGCATTGTGCCAGACATGGTTCTGAATTTCAAGTTAATCTTTATAACCTATGTGGGTGGGTACCAATTTTATTATCCCCTTCTCTATAGATGAGAAAACAGGCACAGAATAAGTCAGCATATGCAACCAGCGTCCAAAGTCCTGGTAGTCAAGGGAGGAGAGTGATTCAAGAATGGGGGAATAATCAATGCAGCAATGAAAATTGAAGGCCAAGTTTGATAAGAGCTGAAAATCCCCATTCAATTTGGCAGTTGGATCACTGGTGAGTTTAAGTGCAATTTTAATTGAAAGCTGTGCGCAGGCCTGATTAAGATGGTTTTAGGAAAGTATATGGGAAATGAGAAAAGAATTGAGTCCATATGACTCTTGAAAGTTTGTAAAGGGAAGCAGAAGCTTCATTGTACAGGGCAGTGGAGGTCTAGAGTCAGGTTTGGATTTTAATTCTGACAATGCCACTTGTGTGTGATGCTGAGGGAACTGTGTTAAACATCCAAGGAAACCTTTGTTTCGTCATCCAGAAAACGGGACTAATACCTACTTTGTAGGGTTGGTGTGAAGATTAAATGAGACTAATTGTGTGTGAAGTCCCTGGAATAGAGTAGATACTGTATAAAATGAAATTAAGGTTGTGGAGGGTTTGTTTAAAGGTTGAGAAGAAGCTACAGCCTAAAGAGGCTGACAGTAAAAAGGGTCTACACTGAGAAGAATGGGGTGGTCTGTGATTTCACAGCTCGTGAAACCTGCTGTGACTGGTGCTCACTCCACTCTGCAAGTCAGAGGCAAGAGAAGTCAGCCCCAGAATTTCTGTTTGGAGGAGCTTAGAAACAATCTTAGAAAGTGGGTGCTAAGGCAGATTTCTGTAAGTATGTCTACCAAGCACACTGCCTCTCTGCCTGGGGTGTGGGATGTGGGGTGGATTAGAAGGGAATTGATGGAGATTGTGGGTACGCTCAAGCTCTTAACCAGCCTCCCCTTTCGCAGATCCTTACCAAGGGCTCTCTGGCAACTCCAGAGCCCTCTAGATTTTCTTCTCACATGCATTCATAACTGTCTCTTTTTGAGGGTTTTCCTCTGGGCTGGTCTTCGCGCGGGGCCTCGAAGTGCGAGCCTGCTTCCCTTCCCCCAACACTAGAGACAAACCTGGCGGGTCTCGGCTCCGCGCTCCAGAGCCCGCGGGCCACACGCGCCTCCTAACAACCGGACGCCAGGCTCAGCCTAGGGAGAGAGGAGGCCACCATGGATCAGTCAGCCATCGCCATCGCCTCCACCACAATAAGAGAAGACCTGGTGCGTTGTACAGCCTCGGTAAGATCGTCTTCCCCTTCCTGGCCTGGTTCCTGCTCCCTCACCAGGCCCGCTGCCCTTTTCCCACCGCTGTCTAATCCTAGGCCTTCGTGCCCCTCCGGTTCCCTCTTCCTACCTTTCTCTCTGCCCTCACGTAAGTCTCCACCTGTGGACCTTCCCTCCTGGTCTTTATTGGATATTTCGTTTGCTTTATTTCTTTTCCCCTTGCTGCTTCCCTTATCCTTCCCCTTCGCCCTTTGTTTTCGGTATTTTTCCCTTCCCATTACGAAGTAAACTGGGCAACTGCTTTAGTATGGTGATTGGATGTCTTGCCCTTTCCCCTCCATCTGCCAGAAGCCTGGGCTTTTCCTTCCGTAGTCTTACTAGACACGTTTTGCTCCACCTGTTACTTTAGTATTTATAAAAATATTTTAAGCTACCTTTGCTACAGTTTTCTTTTAGAATCTCGCTCTGTTACCCAGGCTGGAAGTGCAGTGGCGTGACCTCTGCTCACCGCAACCTCCGCCTCCCGGGTTCAAGGGATTCTCTTGCCTCAGCCTCCCGAGTAGCTGGGATTACAGGCATGCGCCGCCATGCCTGGCCTTTGTTACGTTTTAAAATAAATGTGGGTGAGGGCTGCTTAGCCTAATCTTTTATCTTTCCCCTTAGAGTGAATTTAAAATAGTAGATAGGTGGAGTTTAGATCACCTGTCTTGGGCCAAACAAAACAGCAGCTGCCAGTTGTCTTCCATTAGATTGATCTTGTTTACTTCTCCTTCCTATCTCATTTTCCTTTTTCTGGGGTAGGGGTGGGAGGCCTGTGTTGACCTGCCTAAGAAGGTTTTATTTCTGTGACTATAAATGTGCAACAGAGAAGATTCAACATAAATCTCACGATGAAGCATCAAGGAAGAAGCTCAGCCTTAGCAGGGTGCATGAGACAATGTTATTTAAAGAAATGCACATATTTCATAGTAAAATAAAGCCCAGTAGTACTTCTAAGTAGATTTAAGTTACTAGACAGGAAGAATGAATTATATCAGTTTTACTGATTAGATTATTACATTTATTGCAGTCTTGCTTGATGACCTATATTTTATAATAATAAAGGCCTTATAAAGGAAAGTAGAACTCAACATTTTAATGGTTTTACCTAGGACAAACAAAAGGAAAATATTAAACCCTTGTGTTTTATGGACAGTGTGCTAAAATAAATATGAAATAATAATGGGGCCGGGCACGGTGGCTCACACCTGTAATCCACGCACTTTGGGAGGCTGAAGTGGGTGGATTACAAGGTCAGGAGTTCGAGACAAGCCTGGCCAAAATGGTGAAACCCCGTCTTTAAAAAAAAAAAAAAAGAAAAAATAATGGATAGATGGGTATAGAGTACTAAATATGAAGACAAGAGATTCCTTGGAAACTGAAGAATACCAAAATAATTTGCTTCTTAACTTGGCAGATGAGATGTTAAAAATTAAGCTACTGGCAGGGTGCCGTGGCTCATGTCTGTAATCCTAGCACTTTAGGAATTCGAGGCAGGCAGATCACCTGAGGTCAGGAGTTCAAGACCAGCCTGACCAACATGGAGAAACCCTGTCTCTAATAAAAATACAAAATTAGTGGGCGTGGTGGTAGCTGCCTATAATCCCAGGTACTCGGGAGGCTGAGGCAGGAGAATCGCTTGAACCCAGGAGGCAAAGGTTGCAGTGAGCCAAGACTGCACAATTGCACTCTAGCCTGGGTAATAAGAGCAAAACTCCATCTCAAAAAAATAATTAAAGCTACCATTTATTGAGCACTGATTGTAGATGCAAATCTTTATATGTACAATGTCTTCTTATTTTCTCCTTGAGGTGGCTTCTTACTTTGTCACCCAGGCTGGAGTGCGGTGGCGCCATCTCGGTGCACTACAATCTCCATCTGCTGAGTTAAAGCAATTCTCGTGCCTCAGCCTCCTGAGCAGGGATTACAGCTTCCTGTGTAGGGATTACAGGTGTGTGCCACTATGCCTGGCCAATTTTTCTGTATTTTTAGTAGAGACAGGGTTTCATCATGTTGGCCAGGCTGGTCTCAAACTCTTGGGCTCAAGTGATCCACCCAACTTTGCCTCCCAAAGTGCTGGGATTCCAGGTGTGAGCCACCATGCCTGACATACAATGCTTTATTTTCATGCCAACTCTGATAGTGCCTTATTTTTATACTCCTATGAGGAAGCATGAGGGTTGAATAGCTCACTCAGTGTACCTAGCTGGTAAGCAGCAGAGCTGGGTTCCAGCGTAAGTCTGTCTGGCTTCAAGCCCAACTCTTTTCTTCCTAAGAACACCAAATTTTGTCACATCTAATATACTTACAACATCTCTGTGAGATGGGGATGTTTATTACTCTAATTTTATCTTTTTATCTTTTATTTTTATTATTATAATTTTTTTTACCACCACTAGTCAGTAGGAAAATTACTCTCATTTTAACAAAGGGAATTTAGTTTTTTGAAAGCACTTAAGATCATAAAAAAGCAATTTAAGGAAATACAGGCAAAATGTAACATTATGTAGCTTTTATTTTAATAAAGGCTTATCAGTTGGGTATGAGTATTAATTTCTTCAAGCAAATGTTTTATAAATTATATTTAATTTCAAGGGATCACCTCTCAAATGAATAAGCATACTTTGTGTTTGTTAACAGAAACCAGATCGAAAGACTTCCTCTTTTGAAAGAGAAGGATGGTGGAGAACAGCATTAACAGTATGTACATTGTTCATTCTTTCCTATTCACATTATTCCTATTTCATTAATATTTTAATCAGTTATATCTTTTAAGACTAACACTTAATAGTAAGAAAACAGTGATTGTTCCGATCTGCATGGACCTCATTTCATACTTATAAGTTTAGTATCAGCATATGAATGAGAAACTAGCTTTTAATTTTGAATGCAATAGAAGCTTGGGAAAGTTAAACAACTCTAGAAATCTAGCTTTACAGACTATCTAGATAAGGCTAACCTATGATCTTATGATCTGGAGGAGATTGTACAACAAAAAAAAGCATACATTCTGGAAAGGTGTTTTGGTTTCAGTTTTTCTCTTATATGATATAGACCTTATGCAGATGGTTCTTAATATGGCCAATATATGAAAGCAAAATGGTAATATATGGAAGAAAAATGACCAGAAGCTCCCCTCCAGAGAGTTTCTATAATACAGACATATTTTCTATCAATGCTCTTCAATAATAGAGGGACTTCATGGGTCAAAGCCTCTTGGAATTGAGGTATTTTAATGGCAGAACTGAGCTGAGTGCTCAGCGGAAAGATGGCCACAAAAGTAGCAATGACCAAACCTTCAGTTCTGGCCATTCAGCCACACTGGTTGTAATTTGCAAGTGCTAGACCTCTTACTGGACTAACAAGAGCATATGCTCTGCCAGTTTATCCTGGTCTCATGTTATTATCCCACTTAAGGACTAGACAGAAACATAGTATTGGCTAAGCAGAAGTAGGATAGCTTCTAAGTTAGTCAAGAAACATTTTTCTTCCATATATTAGAGGCCTGAAATTCATAGTCAAGGTTGAATCCCAAAGTCGAATCACTGAATTTGCCTTTTAAAAAGTTAAATTTCAACTCTAACCCATTTGCTATAATTCAGCATTTTTTTTCAGAAAGAAAATAATCATTTTGAAAGACTCTTCTGTCAAGAGTGTTTACTGTATTTGAGATAATTTTATTAAACTTTAAAACAAAGAGAAATGTTACTTGAGATCTTCCCATCCAAGAAAGGTGTTTTAGGAGAAGTTACATGTTTATACAATGATGTTAAAACCGACGTCAATTTTCCACAGAATACTCCTATACCTGGCACTTACCACTTGAAAACTTTCATTGAAGAATCCCGATTAAATCCAGTGATAACAACCTACAATTTTAAAAATGAAGGAAGGAAAAAGCCACCTCTTGTGCAAAGAAACAATCCAGTTCTAAATGATCTTCCACACTATATACCTCCTGACTTCCTGGACCTGTTAAAGAAGCAAATGGCTACTTACTCATTCAAAGACAAACCACGGCCAAGCCCCAGCACACTAGTTGACAAAGATCAGGTAAAGCACTACTAGCAGATTGCTTTGTATGTGAAAGCTACTAAGAGCCCCTGAGGAAAGTATTCTTTATACAGAGCGTATATCTTCCCCGAGAAATGGAGAACCTTTAAGATGTCTTATTTCCTATAGAAATCAAACAAGGACTGCCTGATTTGCAAATGTGTCCAGTATGATTTTTCCCTGTAATGTCTTCTTAACCTAAGTGAGGGAGTACATGGGGAGAAATTTTTCCCTCTTGAGCAACTCTTAGCAGGATTCCCCTAGCCTGGGGAGCCCCGGGATCTTATCTGTCATTGGGCCATGCTCTGGTCTCTTTAAAAGCAGTATATGTGGTGAACCCTCTTCTTTTAAAGAGAAAACCCTGCCTCTCAGTGAGTTATCAGAGCATAAATATAACTACATACCATAGGGAAGCTTTTAAAAACTTTTCTTATAGAAATGACCCCATCTCGCCGGGCGCGGTGGCTCAAGCCTGTAATCCCAGCACTTTGGGAGGCCGAGGCGGGTGGATCACGAGGTCAAGAGATCAAGACCATCCTGGTCAACACGGTGAAACCCCGTCTCTACTAAAACTACAAAAAATTAGCTGGGCATGGTGGCGCGTGCCTGTAATCCCAGCTACTCAGGAGGCTGAGGCAGGAGAATTGCCTGAACCCAGGAGGCGGAGGTTGCGGTGAGCCGAGATCGCGCCATTGCACTCCAGCCTGGGTAACAAGAGCGAAACTCCGTCTCAAAAAAAAAAAAAAAAAAAAAAAAGAAATGACCCCATCTCTACAAAAAATAAATAGCTGGGTGTAGTAGCACTGCCTGTGGTCCCAACTACTCTGGAGGCTGAGGCAGGAGGATCGCTTGAGTCCATGAGTTTGAGACCAGCCTGGGCAATATAACAAGACTCCATCTCTTTAAAAAAAAAAAATTAGCTACTTGGGAAGCCAGGGCAGGAGGATCCCTTGAGCCTGGGAGTTTGAGTCTGCTGTGAGCTATGATTATGCTACTGCAATCCAGCCTGGGTGACAGAGTGAGATGTTATCTCTAAAAATATTTTTTTTAATTAAAAAAAAGAAGTGAGCACGTGGTCCCAGGAGGGTCAGCTTCTACTCTCAGCTCCACCTGTTCATTCGTAGCATTGACAAGAGTACTACTATGCTCCCAGCTCTGCACTAGGCTCTGTGGAAGGAAGATATTCCTGACCCAGAGGTATTTAAGCCAACAAGACAAGACAGAGTTTATCAAGTGCTCAGATAAATAGTGGAACTGAAAATGCCAAAGGAGAGTTCAAGTAGGCTGGATTAAAAGGCTGGAAAGCTCCGTGGCTTAAGTAGGACTTAACTGGACCTTCACTACTACATGTCTCTTATGTGGCTCTTAATGGTTTACTCTGGGCTTCCATGTATATTCTCTTAGTTGCTTCCTTCTTAAGCATTCCAAAATAGGTAGAACAGATTATTAATTCCATTTTACATGCAAGAAAACTAAGGTGAGTAGAGACTAAGTAACTTGTCCAAAGGCACCTTGCTAATACTTAAGTAGGTGAAGCAGCACTTTTAACTGAGGGCTTCTGCACCAAAATTTAATCCTCTTTTCATGTACCCCTCACCTTGAATAAGGAGCAGGGTTTGGATTGATGGAATCCAAAGGAGGTATTTCAAGGGAGGAGTAAAGCATTGTTGAAAGCATGGAAATGGCAGGAACATGGTCTGTTCAAGGGATAGCGTTCAAGGGATAGTTGGACTTTGTTACTTGAGACTTTGGGTACTTGTCTCAGTTCTTTGTGCATTAATATTTCCCATTTATAAAGAAACTAATAACAGTATTGTATCTTTATAACTTCATCATAATATTATTGTGATAACCTGAGAGAAATGTATTGCAGCTGGAGGTTGAATTAAGTACAAGGGGTTGTAATTACTAAAGTGGACACAAAATTTTCAACAGGATGAACACATGTCAAACCCAACACGTAGACCTTTCTACTACTTTGTAAATTATAGCTTTGAAACAGAACAGAATGATAAATGTTCACTGGGTAAATCTTACTCTGTTTGCTTCAGTGGAGGCATACAAACTCTAAATTATACTAGCACATTTATGGCTTGCTATCAGGTAACCTGGCTACGTGTGAAATTGTTCTGGCCATCTCAAATGCAAAGTCTTTATTGCTTATTCTCTTCTGCCATTTCCTTTTCTGCTTCCTCTCTTCTCGCTTTTACGAGTCCCTGAAAATCAGCCAAAGGCCCAGTGTTGAAAGGAGAAAACGTACAAGGTTTTAGTTATGCAAAGTTTTAAAAGACCAAAAGAATTTGGCTTACTCAAGAGGATGGATAAAACCTTCTGAAAACATAGTTTTCCTGTTCTTCTTTCCTTTCTACCTCCCACAAAGGATTAAACTCCACATACTGGAAAAATTCAGTGTTTTCTAATTTTCTATTTCAAAGATATACATGTTCACAAGGGGAAAGATACTCAGATGTAACATTGTTTACTCACCAGTACAATTCATAATTCCAATATTTTAGTAGCAGAACTCAGTAGAATAATTTGAATTTGGGGTATAGTATGTATTATTGTTATTCATTAAGCTAGGACAGCATTCTCAAACTTCTTAATTTTTCACAGAATATCCATTTTGTATCTTTCAGTGGCTTTTTATTTGTAATAGTTTTCACCATTTTTAATACCTTTATTCTGAAGCATGTAACTCAAGAATCTATATTGAAGAGCCTTTTTTTTTTCAACTTCTATTTTAGATTCAGGGTCTATATGTGCAGATTTGTTACCCATGTGTATTCCATAATGCTGATTGGGGTACGATTGATCCCATCACCCAAGTTCTGAGCATAGTACCCAATGGTTAGTTTTTCTACCCTTTCACCCCTAGTGAAGAGTGTCACTAGTCTTATTAGTCTTATGGGATTATAGGCATGAGTCAAGTGCAGTGGCTCATGCCTATAATCCCAGCACTTTAGGAGGACGAGGCAGGTGGATCACTTAAGGCCAGGAGTTCGAGACCAGCCTGGCCAACATGGTGAAACTCTATCTCTACTATAATAAAAATATGAAAATTAGCTGGGCATCTTGGCACAGGTTTGTAAACCCAGCTACTTGGGAGACTGAGGCATGCAAATTGCTTGAACTGGGAGGTGGAGGCTGCAGTGAGTCATGATTGTGCCACTGACCTCCAGCCTAGGCGACAGAGCAAGACCCTGTCTCAGAAAAAAAAAGGAATGTATATATATATATAGGTATTTGAGTGTGTGTATGTGTGTGTGTGCATACATATGCTTATCTATATTTTCCCCTTTCCAAAGAATATTTTAGGTGGCCCCATAATTTTTCTAATTACCTTTTTCTTAACAGATAAATAGTATATGCTCATTGTAGAATATATGTACACAAATGGGACCACCTCTCTCCATATGTACAGTTTTATGACCTACTTTTCCCCCTAGTGTTGTAGTCCCCCGCTGACCCCTGAGTTACTCCCCTTACTCCTTGCTATTAGCCCCCTTCCTTCACTGTCACTCTTTTCACTGCTTATATCATAATTTCAGCACACACATAGATGATCTTCCAACAACCTGGCTTCTCAGTTTCTTGAACTTTCCTCTACCTCAGCCACTCACTCCTTCGATGATTTTCAAGACCAAGAATTTCACAATCTCTACATGAATTCCCCTCTCTGACTAATATCCAATCCTAACAATTTTTCCATTCCCCACAGGCTATAATTGCAGTCTATTGATTCTCCCACCTTTTCACTACCTCGCAACCCCTGTCATCCTTGCAAAGCTCCAATCCCATTGTTAATCATTATAGCTACTCTCTGCATACACTGTCAATTCCCTTGCCCCTCACTTCTCATCTTTTACTTGTTTGGCAAAGCCACAACCCTGGGTATGTCTCTCTTTGTATTAATATCTACATCCATGTAGCTGGATGACTGGTCTCATGCTAAATTCTCTACCTCTAATGGGCACTGAATGGACTTCTCTAGTCCATTTACTTTCCCACTCTCTTGGGTGGTTTTATCTTCTATACATCCTTTATGTATTTATTTTATTTATTTATTTATTTCAGACACCCTATCACCAAGGCTACAGTACAGTGGCACAATCATAGCTCACTGTAACCTTGATTCCCCAGGCTCAAGCAGTCCTCCCCCTCAGCTTCCTAAGCAGCTGGGACTATAGGCGCACACCAGCCACCGTGCCTGGCTAATTTTAAAATTTTTTGTAGAGGCAGTCTCATTTTGTTGCCCAGGCTGGTCTCAAACTCCTGAGCTCCAGTGATCCTCCCGCCTCATCCTCCCAAAGTGCTGGGATTACAGGCATGAGTCACGCATCCAGTCACTCTCCCCTCTTTTCAAACCTCCTACATCCTCCTACACGTCCTCCTCCATCCTCATTTTTGGTTTTTCTTCTCAGCCATTTTTTGCCATCTCTGCCCTTCCCTGATCTCCATCTTGGAGTGCTCCAGGCACTCAGACCTCTGCTCCATCTCTGCTTATTCCCTGAATGGTGATCTCATTCAACACCTTGATGGTGTTCTCATTCAACGCTATGAACACCATCTATTTGTTGGTGATTATCAAATTTATGTCTGCCACCTAGATTTTTTTCTTGAATTCCAAACTTGTATATCCAATTCCTTTCTTTCTTTTTTTTTTTTTTTGATAAAGATAGGATCCCATTATGTTGCCCAGGCTGGCCTCAAACTCCTGGCTCAAGCAATCCTCCTGCCTTGGCCTCCCAAAGTGCTGAAGTTAAAGGTGTGAGTCACTGTGGCCAATTCCCTTTGTGGTTTATCCACCTGTATGTCTAATCCTGGGTTTCTCAAGCTCAGTACTGCTGACATTTTGGGCAGGAAAAATCTTTGTTGTTGGGGGCGGCCTGTTCTGTGCATTGTAGTACCTGGCCTCTTCTCATTAAGTATCGTTAGCAATCTACTCGTCCAGTTGTAACAACCAAAAATGTCTCCAGACATTGCCATGCTCCTGGTTC